AGCTATGAAATTAAATATAATAAACTACTGAACTTCTAAAGCATGGCATGTTATAGACGTTCAACATTCAACATGTATCTGAGTGATAAAATTATATTTCCTCATTCTTCTTACACATTTCCTACCTTAGAACTAGAATTTCCAACTACAGAATGATACCCCATTTGTACTTCACCAAATAAGTTAATATTTGTTTGCATAACATTTAGGTCAACCTCACTTATTCCACAAACTGTCTATGACCATCACACTTACAAATCCCAACCATAGTGCCAAAACTGATTTTGTCAAGCTTATCCATCTTTTAATCAAATAGGATTTGACCGATCACTACACACTTTAACATGATTTTCCTTGTTTCATTTGCTTTAAACCATACTGTTTTTATGCAAACCATACTCAGCCAACTTGTCACTATTAAGGCACGTTAATTGTACTTGCCCTGCACGTATATGTGCAAGCTGTCTCGTCAGTCATTACCTGATAATGTTTACTAAATTTTTAGTCTTTTATTTCCATAATTTGTATTTCATTTGACTAATTCATGCCAATAAAATGATCTGTGATTTTCTGTGGTATCCAATTCTGAACAAGCAGTAATTCTTTTTTTTTTTTAATCCTGCGTATGTGTGTCTACTAGATCCACAGAAATCCTCTTGGAAAGCCTGTGTCCTCATTTGTGAACCCATATTGCATTGGTGTTATTCAACACTCAAATGTCAGTGTGGTGACTCTACATGATATCCTGACACCCTATCTCCTTCTGTGATGCATAAGATTATACGCATCATGATCCAATACAAATGAAATTCTGGAAGAGTCATATTTGAGCTCCTTTCACTTAAAAGTTCTTCAGAAAATGAAAATATTCTGTTGACGGGCTTCAGGGCACGAAAACTGATCCACTTTCCACTTTCAGCCCATTACGTTATTCATTTGAAATTTACTGAAATTATTCAGTTTTCCCTACTACTTATTACTCTAGGACCGTAGACTTTCACAAAGGACACCTGCTTGAAGAGAAGTGCAGTGTTATCAGTTCACTTGTAGTGAACACAAGTTAGTAATTTTTGTCCAGGATTAAGTGCAACAGTCTACCTTTCCACAATGAAGGTAGTTTAGAATAGAGCAGGCATTGATATAAATAGCTGAGATGCTGAGATGGACCATGGAGTGATCAAAAAGAGCATCTCTGCTTCGTGCCACCGGTAGATGGTAGGGCTTTATAGAATGTTGGAAGTCACAAGGAAGTGTCAGTAGTTAGAGTTTATCTGAATAACCCACATTGTCCTTGTTGTTCCAATAACCTGATTTTCGTCACAAACATATTTGTCAATAATCATCACCAAATGAAAAAAAAAAACCATCTTCCCCCTCACATTTAATGACATGTCCATTATTAACCCTTTACTATCAACATCCTGGGAAATATATTTGAATAGCAACTGATCTGGGACAGCCATATAAATAGTGCGACTAGATGCTAGGAGTTCAATGGTGAATTATATACACCCAATCTCTCTGATGCCTGTTCGCTTCCGGCATGCTGCGTGTCAGGAGTTTATCTGAATAATCCACACTGTCCTTGTTGTTCCAATAACATTCAAAAAAAAAAATCTTTATTCTATTTAGAAAAGAAAAGCATCCTGCTTGTCTGGAACCATATCATCACCTCAATATGCACTAGTTTGTACAATCTACTGCAACAACGCACCAAAGGTTCTTGGAAAGCCCTTCCAAACCTGTGAAAACTGCGACATGTTAAAGTAAGGACAGAGAAGGCATGGGAACATAACTACCTGCATGTTGTCCTCCAAATCACAGAACATGTTGTTGTGTAACCATATCACTATTCCTTCACTTTTTTTAAGTTAAAACCTTACTCCAGCGTTCAGCAATACCAGTCTTCCAGCACCCTAAGTACTGCAGGGTTTGAAGGAGATGGCGCATGAACACTTTTTTTTCAGATAGATTTGCTCTTTAAAATAAATACTGCCCTAGCTGGTAACGTCCACATTATTTTGAATGAACAATAATAAAAAGTGCTCCTTCAGAGAAAATCACATCTGCAGTTGTTGGGTTATGCAATTTCAGCATTAACACCTACCAATGTTTCTTCTTTTCACCTGCTGTCCGAGCATTAAGATTTTTCCCAAGTGTTAGCTTCTCTGGCTAATATTTACATTCAGTGCATCAACAGAAAACATTGTTTTCTTAAAACTCCAGCGAAACATCCTTGTAATATTTGTTATATTAAATCCAGAATATCAATACATTATTTTAGTTTTAATATTATTCTTGTTTTCGCGGTTTCTTTCCTTACTTTTATTTGTTTCCCTTCCCCAGTGAAGCATTTCTTCTATTATGTTTTCTTTTCTTGGAATAAAACACATTTCCAACTTTTCTACGTTCTTTTCAAGTAACCTTATATCTTCCTGCATGTTAGTGATCTTATTCTTAATTCGAAATCGTATGAAAATTATTCATTTTAGAAATTTATTTTTTCATAGATAACACAGTGTAAGCTGGAGGAACACAGCAGGCCAGGTAGCATCAGAGGAGCAGTAAAGTTGACTTTTCAGGTCAGGACACTTCCTCAGAAAAAAAGAAGAAGGAAAAGAAGAAGGGACCTGAACTGAAACATTGACTTTCCTGCTCCTTTCCTGCTGCCTGGCCTGCTGTGTTCCTCCAGCTCCACGCTATATTATCTCTGACTCCAGCATCTGTGGTTCTTGCTATCTAACTTTTAATTCTCATTTATACAGCATAACGTGTAATAATTAAGATAAATAACATTTCTGGAACAATGCAAACTCATTTTACTCACCGTCCTCGGAAACAGAGGAGAAATCCACTGTTACAATTTGTTCCTCCTGCTGAAAAGTTTTGAATCCTAAACTTACATCCCACAAAGCTAATATTTCTGTCAAAATCAGTCAGCTGGAAATTGGCAAGACCTTGCTCAAAGAAAATTGTAACATAGCCTATGTGTAGTGCTCACAATAATGTCAAATCCCCGTATTTTGTTCTTAAAATATAAATCCAGTATATCAGACATGATTTTCCCGGCACACATCTCCGCTTACTTGTCTTCCGTTTTCGCTGCCTTATCAAATTGTAGTTAACTTTATCCACGAGACTTCGTCATGGGGATGTTAGTCTACCAAAGGCGTAAACCTGATTTTGTCTAAACGTTCAATCTTAATAACTTATTTCAGAAGAGATCTTCTGGCACTGCGTCTCTAAGAACATAGTCATGAAAAATAGCATTCTGTCACACTTGTCGTCTTCGCGTTCAAGAATCTCCCTGAGTAGCACACCTAATCGCGTTCATTGTCAAGCCAGAAGTCTTTCCAACATTTTGTTTCTTACAATAGTGTCTATTCCATTTCCTTTCCTTGAGTTATGATCTTAACCACTTAATGGGAGAACGACAGAAGGAAAAGAAATCATCAACCATGCAACAGAATGAAATTACCAACAGCTAACATCATTTTTGACTAAAATCGTTATTACAAAAAACCTTCATTTTAGGATAATACTAATTACTGTTATAGTATGGTTATCGTGTATCATTTTGTGTGTGTGTATGTATATGTGTATGTGTGAGTGAGTGACAGAAAGAGAGAGAGAGAACAATTGTTTAATTGCATTCTGTATTTATTGTTCATCGACCTCAATCTCATCAGTGGTCCATCATATGCCTAAGAAACATAAGAAATAAATAAACATAGAAAGTCAGCAATCTACCCATCGACCCTGCTTCACCATACACAATGATCCTGACTGATAATCCAACTTCATGCCGTGTTCCCATCTTATCCATATACCCTTTGTTCCCTTTAGTACTAAGAATTGTATCTATTTCCATCTTGAAAACAAAAAATGGAATGTTTTTACATGAACCACCTTCTGTGGACATTAAACTGCATGCATGGTCTCCACCAAGAGCACATATAATTGCAACAAGACTTCTATTACAGTGTGGTCGAATGCTATCACTCTGAAAACCAACATATCATTTGCCTTCTTTGCTGCCTATTACAATTGCATTCACAGTTTCAGGGACCGATGATGAAGGATACCCAAGTGTAGTATTATCATTCCCTTTCCCATTCAGTCACCAGTGTGATAACGAGCTGCTTTCCTGTCTTTCCAACAATAGTGGATTTCGTCATAAAACCTTGTATTTTAACTGCCTGCAAAGTACATAATTGAAGAAACCTTCATCCATCTGCTCACCTTGGAGAAGAGAGAACAAATGTTCCCCAAGTTGATGACTATAGAGTACAGTCTTGTCCTTAAAAAAGCAGCTACATGTATTTATTATTTTTTTAAGGAAACATTAAATGCACGGGGTGTTGAAATGGCACTGATAACGTGTCCAAAGAATTCACATATCTGTACTTCTGTTTGATGTTTAACTACTTTCTTCAAATCCATATTATCTCTTAAAAAATATTAATAGGGAAGTTTCCGCAAATGGATTTGAATGATCTAACCGGGAATAAAAAGCTATAATTTATTGAACTGAATGCCATGATAAACGTTTATGGATGTACAGAGAAGAAAATTGTATCGGTATGTAAGCTGACACTTATACTGTCGTTGGAGTTGTTTCTAGGAGGACGCAAATGTTCTTAGATGAAGGTGAAATATTGTATTTTCATTTGGGTGGTAGTTTATTCGCTGGCCCAATGCCTAGCTGTCAACTGGCAATGGATGTTAATCACAACCTTCTTCTGTTGATTACAATGAAGCATATCATTAGTTGTAGAGTTAATATTTGGCAATGCATCTTTCTAAACTTGATTTTTGTGATGACAAAAGGAAATGTGGTATATTCAGGAACATGTCATCATGACAATTCATCATGAAATTTATGTCTTAATGCAATAATACATGATTTATTATTTATTATTTCATTTATTCACTGACTTATTTTAGTTGAGTGACCGAGCCTTGACTAAATGCTACTATTTCTTTATTTTTCATAACAGAGAATAAACAGCGAGATCATGACCGAGGTACCTTGTGACGAAAATGACAGCATACAATATTGGCATTCTGAATGATATTCACTAGCATTTTATTTCTGACTTGGTTGTTCTAACAATATCAAGATTATGCTCTATCAATTATGAAAATAAATCAACAGTTACAATATGAGCTTTCATGCATCAGATTTAATAACACATCGTTTCCCCCAAACATCCTCTTCTATGCTGAATCAGCACTAAATAAACAAAATATTGTCTTGTGATATTATACTATTTGGAATCTTAACAAAGCATAGGACAAAAACAAGCTAAATTGGTGTTTTGGAGCAATTGACAGCAACTATGTCGCTGCTTTTAGAGATACCCAAAATTTAATTTCCATTAAGTAAGATTATATATGAAGCAACATTGCTTCCAAATTACCATAAAAAGGAATGGTGATTTGCTATTGCTCTGCCTTTACATAGATAGTTATTTTTTCACTAAAATAAGGTTATTTTTGTCTTTTGTACAAGACACTTGCTGGTGCAGGGAAAACTGGAATTGGTATTACGTATAAATGAAACTGAAATGAGTATTCCTGAAACATTCATGTATGTGTGAAGCTATTCGGCCTATTCTCATCATGAATACAAAGAATAAATAACAAGTGAAGGGAAATAACGATAAAACTGTTTGAGAGAAGATTGGTGAATTGTTAGCAAGTGGAACTAAATGGGGTAGGCCTTGTATACATAATAATGTAAAATCGTCCCAAAGTTTGTACAAAAACCACGCATACACACTACACCTGTTTCAAATCAACAAAATTGTGAAAGCTATTTTCTATTCTCTATCCCAATCAAAAGCATTGGACATTCGAGACAACGTGCACCACTTTAAAATTTAAGTGGAACATGGCAGGTAATTGCCAGTCCTTGTTAACTAGTGCAGTCTTGGAGGTAATGCCTTGACAAGTCAAATCTATTAGTTAACCAGTCAGCACTCTCATTTAAGGAAGTACGGATGTTGTTTTCCTTTATACCTCAGTAGTTCTTGCAGATTGTTCTATTAAGTACAATATGAAACGTTTCAACAAAATATTTATTTTTTTCCCAATAATATTCAAGCTTCGCATCACACGTATCATGAAACACATATTGAAAACTGAAATCTTAAGAAGAAAATGCCAACACTGCTTTATTCCAGTCTAATAAACTTGCCGAGTATTATTTAATCCCTAGACAATGTTTCTACTACCATATACATCGATAAATGCCAAGACTTTCCTTCGTTTCTAATGAAAGCTAAAACTAGTTTTGTTGTTACGTCTGGCGTTGGGTTGATAGGTGTCAACTCTCGCTTAGAAGGGGAGGTGCTATCCTGTGAAATCTCTTCTGGGATGGCGAATACTAAACCACATTGGTCAGCATTTCTCTCCCGTGACATCGGGTAAATACCACAGCAGTAAAAATAAAGAAGTCCAGACACAAATGTTTTTCACAGCATTTGGGTATGTTATAAGTATGAAATACTCAAGGGAATGTTAGCATTGCACCACCCTACACCCCGCACCTTGTGTGTATTAATGATTAATCCGACACATTTACTCTGAATAGGGAAACGTGATTCGAGGGCTAATAATTTATTCTTATTATTATTTCAGAAATGGATAAATTAAGAGAAAGGCTGAGGGAAGCAGGTGAGCTCCTTTCTGTATATGATGCATCGTTTAGTGACGATTAATTTAACTGAGACAACTGCTATAAGGCAAAAGAAAAATTAATCTTCCAAAAAAAAACTGTATGCCTAATGTCATATGAACTAATTGTTATAGAAGGTAAGATAGAAACCAAGACCTCGAACAGTGCATTCGACGCTTCAAAACTGATCCAGTCCAAACACTTGTGAAGAATTTTTCCTCCTATTCTTTCACGTGGGTGCTTAGCAAAATGCACTCTTGAAATCCAAATTCTTTGCATTAACTGGTCTCCCTTGATTATTAAACGACTTAAATCTTCAGAAACCTCCCCTAGATTAGTGAAGCATTATTTCCCTTTCACATACCCCTGCTGACTCTGTCTTATCCAAGAAATACTTCCCAAATGTTCTAGTATGATGAATTGTATATGGGCTCTAGTATTTTTCACACTTCTGAACATTGCTTAACAGGATTAAAGCTCTCTGACTTTTCTTCCTCTGTCTTTTTTTCTTAAATTAACCTGTTCGAATATATTTGTAAATCTCCAATCTGCGGTGACAATTCCACGTTCTATAGAATTTTAGAATTTGGCCACCAATAACATTTTTCCTTCATTTGTGGATTGTGGGCATCCCTGGCTGCATAGCATTTATTGTTCATCCCTATTTGCCTGGAGAAGGTAATGATGAGCTGCCTTCTTGAACCGCTGCAGTCCACCTGCTGTGAGTTGACCAACAAGCCATTAAGGAGGGAATTCGAAGATTTTAACCCAGAGACAGTGAGTGAAGTCATCTTTGCTGTTCTATGTTTGCACCATATACAAGTGAATAAATGACATATTTCCTGCATACATTATTCAGTATTATTCATTAGCTGTCTCCTGTGAATACTTTTAATGATTTTCCAAATTCCTTCATTACCAACGAGCGCTTCAACCATTCGAGTTTCTTTAATTAGATAATGGACCTAAGTTTCAGTTTCCAGTTATGCAATCTCCATCTTGGTAAAGCATTTATGCTCGTTCTTCCCAATCGACGCTGCACAACATGGTTGTTAGCTAACTACCGCTCATCACACTGTGCCTAAGTTAGAGTGGCATGATTTCTAACTGGTTACTTAATACATCAGTGTAAAAAGAAATCCCACGTAGGGTCCAGGCACGCCTCTTCAACACTATTTTTGCCACACACAGATTACTCATCTCGATTAACCAAAGCTGCACGTAATAGACAGAAACACAAAACTTTCTCTATCAAATATCTTTTTTTTTCCAAAAAAACAAGTTAATGGCCATCCAATTGTTTCGTTCCTGCTCGAAAATCCTGTTGAAAAATATAGATAAAGCAATTGTTGTATTTCATAATTCATGTTTATTGCACCACACTTATGGCACTGGGATATATTTGAATCTCTTGTCTTTATTGTAAACTTTAAATGTCCCATTATCTCCAACATTGGAAAATGTTCGAAAAACTTTTCATTTCCATTGCTCTATTAAATATTATTCCCTCTTATACAAATGTCTCTACTAATAGCGCTGTTTTGACATAATGATTTTCAATCCCTCAAGTAACCAGTGAACATAGCTCCCAGTAGATTTTTTTTTTCTTTTTTTTTTAGCTGTCCTATGGCATACTTGCCATGTTTGCGGCATATTACATACAAGCTCAAGAAAACACTTTTTTTTCTGCCTGATCACTGGCTCGGTTTTAGTTTTTCTTTTGCATGAAGTACACCGTCTTCTGACATCCTGTTTGATAAAGCTTGTTTGAATTCATTACTGGGATCATACTTCTGGGAAGCACTAACGTCAATGATTAAAGTTTTATTGCTATAAAAAATATTTAGATTTCTATTTTCTTTTTGGACTTTGGCCAACGAGTATTTCTATTAATATGAGTTCGTTCGCATTTTCCCCCCTTTTTAAATAATAAATGCTCATGATTTTAGTCAACTTACATTTCCAAGCTTTTGCATTGTCCAGAGGAAAATTTGCCAATTGGGTTTGCCAATATCAAAATATTTTCTAATCACTTGCTATGTGATGATAATACTCGGTGAATTCTTCCGCTCCTGCCTTTTAAGTGTGTGTATAAATGTCGTTCACTGCCTGCAATAATGAAATTATAGTTTCGAGTATTGGAAAAGTTTGGTGCGAGTTATGCTGTATGTCGTCCGTGGAAAGTTTTGTCCAGTGGATTTTCGGATGATACAAGTGCAAGTCCATGTACTTGCAACCTGCAAAAGCTTCCATTTTCCCTTGGACAAAAAGCAATTAATAGTGTAAGTAAATAATTATAAACACTTTCTTTTTCAACGACAAACAGAGAGAAAATCGGAGGATACAGTCAAAGGTAGAGAATTCGGAAATAACACTGCTGTGCTGAATTGTAGTTAAATTATAGTTTGTGCATTTAAAATAAAACATTGAATTTTTTTGTCTTCTTCAGTGCAAATCTGCTGGGTTTATACCGATAGATATTATGATTTTGTACCTCAATGGTTACATATTATTTACGATTATTCTCCAATGAAATTTTACCTTTATGAGCAACACTTTCTAAGATATTAGATTTACTGAATGGTGATAAAGAAAAAAAAGAGTTTTACTCCATTTTAAAACACTTTACACTTTATTCCGTATGCCTTTAAGTCTAGAAACTTTGCTCATGTTGCATTGTATTTTAAGATGCGTTTACATTTCGTTTTTATTCCTCTGAATTATTTCTATTTAGGTTATTTTACAAAATGTCTTTACAATAGGGCTTGCAATATTGGATCAGATCCACTTTTCACACATACATAATCTTTATATCTTTAAGATCTTCAATGCCTGAAATCATTAATTTATATGTAAGGTATTTTCAGTTGGTTTAGGTGTTCGGGTGTGGCAATGACCTCGTTAGCTAAGATGAGCATAACATGGCACATTTTAGGAGATCTGCTTTTAAACATAGCTGATCAAACGAAAACAATGTATCATAACAATAATTATTAAATTTTGGAAGAAAATCACATACGTGAATGAAATTCAATTTCTGCAATTTGCCAACCATTGTAATAACATCAGAATTCTGACCAGTTAAGAATAAATTTTAAAAACGAATGCAATTCACTGGGCTAAATAGAATTTTGTTTGCGCTTGCTTGTTCCTGCTCAATGTTGGAAAAGGACACTGTGAGTTGTCTTATTACTCTGAGGAAATACAATGATGACAAAGACAACATTTCCTCACACAATGTTCCTACTCAACAGATTCGGTAAATGAAGAACTTTAGGAAGATACAGACTGAGCCTGCTAGGGAAGAAAAAATACATATCTAAATGACATCAGCAAACCTGCAAAAAATCCTGACCCAAAACGTCA